AACTGTCTACACAGTAGAAAATGTACAGTCTTACCAGACCACACGAATTGGCTTTCAGCTAGCTTAGCAATTATTCCAATAGGTGACCCCTTCAGTTCATTCCACGCATCTTGTCCTATTGATTCTATAATCCCAGGGACATCTCCCATCTTGATATTGTGATTTAACAATTTATTCTCCAGAATAGACTCCCCTTCTGCGTAAAGTCTTGGAGGGTAATCCCTTGGTTGTTCTTCAGAAATAACCTCAGCCATCTGATAAACCATAAATCAGCCGTAAGCATACAGTAACTCAGTCACAACATAAAACAAACTCAGCCACAGTTGAGCAGATAAACCATAACTCAGTCGTAAGCATAGAGTAACTCAGCCACAACGTAAAACAAACTCAGCCACACCATAAAACAAACTCAGCCATAGATGCATTGATAAATCATAAATCAGTCTAAAGCAAACAATAACTCAGCCATGGAATCGAATAGATATAACAAATTAGCCACCATATGAAAATCAACGTTGGCGAAAATCAGCTGTAATAAGCGTCGATAAAAACCCTCAATTTCTTCGCGATAGTTTTCGGAAAACATTTTCTATCACGGAAATCACTCGCTATTGAACTTAGATGCGGGAAAAATGTCGGAAAATCCAAAATAAAGATTCGACACATACCTTAAACAAGTTGAGTTGAGACGAAATGGTCCCGACTTGAGGTGAGGCGACGAAGTAAAAGGTCCCGACTTGAGTAGAGACGAAATGCGACGGAGAGAACGAGAGAGTTAAGAGTTTCGGCCGGAATTAGGGTTTCTTAGTCTTAGTCGGAATCGCGTCTCCGTCGGAGAAAGAAAAAGTTTTTTCAGTTTTTTTTTTTTCGGAGATGAACAGTGACAGAGAGGGAAATCGAAAGGGTTCTCTTAATGACGTTAATGACGTGGCTTTAATTTGTTTTTCTTTTAATGACGTGGATTAACATAATTTTCGTTAATCATTTCTTAATTAAAAATGGATTAAAAAAAAAAAACTAATCAAGGGTGTTAATTGTAATTACACAAAGACGCTAAACATATGAGTAATTTTTAAAAAATGTATGATATTCTAGTAATATTCGAACTTTTGGTTAACATCTGAGTAAATATTTCTTTTTTTTATCTTTAATTTCTCGTAGGGCTAATGTTAAGGCGGATAATCTGGCACAAAAAATTCGTACAGAATCGCTTCATATCACTTATGTAAACAACATTTATCAGGAATGACTCTTTTGAGTTCTAATTAATTTCTGATGACAAAAAAAAAAAAAACAATTAATATTTTTGATCATAAATAAATTACATAAAGACGTTACGGCATCACCTAAAGCGTGATTTTTTTGGGTCAACGTACGATATAGTCTTGTCAACGCTTATGTCAACGGCTCATTTTTGGCTGGTTTATATATTTTCAAATAATCTGTAATTGAACATTTCTTTTTTTTGAAAGAGATATAATTGAACATTTCAATTTTCGTTAGCCTAATTAGACCAAAGGTTATTCATGTATCGGATTAGGCCTGGGCATATAGATAACCCGTTCGGGTTCGGGTAAAACCCGTTCGGGTTCGGGTTAAATGGGTAATGAATTTACGACCCATTCGGGTATTTCTAAACATTCGGTTCCGGTCCGGTTCGGGTATCGTCGGGTTCGGATCGGTTTGGGTAAAAAATTTTAAACCCTATAAATACCCAAAAAATATGGGTACCCGTTCGGTTCGGGTATTTTATATGTAAAATGTCGGGTTTTATACGTAAAATACCGGGTACCCGAAAAAAACCTTAAAAATTTGTTAAATTTTAATAAATTTAGTTATATTTGAATACATTTTGCTAAATTTTGACAATCATAACAAATAGTTTTTGGATAGTTTGGTTGTTTTGGATATTTAAATCTAAAGTTAATTGACATATTTAGATTTATAATTGTAATTCTATATAATTAAATTATATTAAAATTATATATAATTAATATTTTTGATATTTAATTATATGTTCGGGTATTCGGGTACCCTGTTTGGGTAACGGGTATTATCCAGACCGACCCGATACCCACGGGTTTTCAAAAACTGTACCCAATGAGGTAATTTCCTCTTACCCGTATCCACCCCGAACCGGTTTTTTTCGGTTCGGGTATCGGTCCGGGTTTTGGGTCCGGGTTTTTTGCCCAGGCCTATATCGAACTACAGTTAATTTTGAAATTTTCAGCTTTAGCATTTTTTTTTTTTTTGTATTTTAGATTTTGTGAACAGAATTTTGGTGGATTATCCAATCGATTTTATAAATTGCTTAATTTTTATTTAGCAAAAAAAGAGAGATCATTTGAAAAATAATAGTTGCATTTGAAAGAAACACAATAAAGTATTTAATACCATGAAAAGTGTTTCAACGATAAAAGCAAAAGTGACCAAATCTTCATTACTAAAACATAAGAATTTAGATATAGCTTTGATCGTTTTGAATGTGTTTCTTATTTTCATGTTAAGTTGTTATATATCCCGAAATTGATTAAAAACTAGACTACCAATACTAACTTAAAAGGGACGATTGTCTAGTGGTAATACAAGAGCATTGATTTTTTTGTGTCTCGGGTTCAATTCTCCTTTAGAAGTTTGGGACGATGAGACAATTTTAAAATAAGAATGGCTAAAAGCTAGCTTCGGGTAGCAAAAATTTTTATGGATTAAAAGTTCGAAATTCTCGCGATTTATATATAGAAACAAACCTAAAAGAAAGAGTTATAAATGCAACTTTGGAACTGTTGAATAAAGTTACAAAAATCGCGAAGTAAAATTTAAGAAGAGTAGCTAGCTAGGTGAAAGAAGTCAAGAAACCAATTCCGTGAGAGGAAGGAGAGTAATCAACTGAATGTTATCAATCGACTGCACCATTCATTTCGAATGTTAATTGTCTTTTAAGTATATTCAATCTAGTACGGGTTTACTAACATATATATATATATATATATATATATATATATATATATATATATATATATATATTTTGTGCACCATACTAACATATTATAGTTCAATTTAATACATAGAACATTTATAACATGTAGATGTGGATGTACATGTTATAGTACTATTAATTGGAATTTATGCATGAGTAGGGTTTGATTATACCATAAGAGGTATAGTCAATGATTGAGAAACGGACAAAATAAAGCGTTTAAGTAATAAATCTAAAACGCGTAGATTGTAACATTAACTAAGTTGAAATTCTCAAACATAAATGCACGACCATATCTGAAAACAACAACAACAAACATACGGCTCATATCTATCTAGCCTCAAACTATACAACTGATCGTATAGAAATTAAATAGATCTGAATTTATAAAATTAGAGATGGTAATGATTTTAAAAAATCTAAGAAAATGGTTAATAATATTATTATTTAAGACACTTTTACATTTTTCGTAAGTTTATGTTACAATTTTGCTTACGAGATTTGTTTTCCTATACATGTTTTATATATATTTGTATAAGTGGGTCAATGATATATTATTAATGATATATCACATTTTAGTTTAATAAGTGGGTCAGTTATATTTTCCTCTTACTTTGTAAGTTATTTGTTTTTTTATATTTTTGATAAATAGTAGAAGTTATTGTTTTCAAAAATGTCATCTATTTTGTCAGTTTGAGATTTTCAAAAACTTGGGCATCAAGTATTCGAGTGTACATTAGTATATTATTACAAGCTGATGTTAGTTTGTTCGAAATGATTCAAGCATCAATTGATTTATCAACGAATAATTATATGACACTACACAAGTGTCTTTATATTTACTACTCCCTCCGTATTTTAATAAGTGTCGTTTTAGGATTTTCTTTTTTTAAAAAATTAGATGTCGTTTTCAAATTTCTATGCAAAATTTCTTACTTTTTAATGTTTTATGACATCATAAAACATTAAAAAGTAAGAAATTTTGCATAGAAATTTGAAAACGACATCCAATTCAAAAAAGTAAAAATTCTAAAACGACACTTATTAAAATACGGAGGGAGTATTATTTAGTGTTAATTAACTTAAACAAAAACAAAAACTAATTAACTAACATTAGCCTGGTTAATGAATAGCACTACTAAACTCGGCAACGAATCTTCTTGGAAATTACAAGTGCTACTTTGTCAATCTTCTAAGCCCTATATATATATATATTCCAATATTCACTCTTTCTCAACCTCATCTCTCTCTCTCTCTCTCTCTCTCTCTCTCTCTCTCTCTCTCACACACAAACACAAAGTGTTTTTGTTTGAAGTTTTAATTTTTTTTTAAAAAAAAATCTCTAAAACTAAAAGTGATCAATGAAGATTCGGAACAGCCCTAAATTTCATGGGGGTGGTGGTTACAGTGGCTTAAGAGCTCGTAACTTAACATTCAAGAAGTGAGTTCTTGATCTTACCGAACAAAATCTTGACTTTTCTGGTTGATTTTTGGACAAAGTTTCTAATTTTCTAGTTTCATTTTCTCATGTAAACCACAGAGTTGTGAAGCAAGTGATGAGAGATCAGTCATATAATCAATTCATGATTCAGATGGAGAACATGATAAGAAGAATTGTGAGTCTTTTTTTCCAATCGTTTTTAATTAACAACTTACTCTGCTTAAACCACCTAATTAATTATCTTAACTAATCACGGATTATTTAGATTAACATGTTCCTAATATATAGCCACCAAGTTTTACCGACTACTTCTGTTCTGTCTTGTTTTAAATTTTGTGGGCTCCTCGATCAACATTGGTCCCTAAGTCCAGTATCTAGTATAACAAACTAGTCACAAGTCTAGTAATTATAGTATATCAAATTATAAACATATAACGAAATCATGAAATCACATATGTTTTATGGGTTTGATTGGTAATGTTTTTTTTTGTGTAACGGTATTGAACAATACCATTTTAACGGTTACCAAATACCAATCATGAAAATTTGATGTGGCTATATATGTCTTTTTTTTTTGGGCAAACTATTAATGATATTAATGGGAAGAGATTACACTCCTCTGGGGGAGAAAGCATTCGCTGCAAACAGGGCAGCCTTAGCTAGAGAATCAGCGATTACATTGTTCAACCTAGGAACGAAATGAAACGAGATAGAGGACAGCTCTGCACCAAGGCAGGCTATGTCGTGAATGATTGCTTTGAGCTCTTTTGAGCTAGCTTTAGAGTTGAGGGTAGAGACTAGGACATGTGAGTCAGAGTGAACTTCAAGCCTTCTGATCGAAGAGAGTTCTGGCACCGTCTTTAAAGCATTTAGAGCGCTCCGGACTGCCAATGCTTCTGCGGTTAGGGCTGAGCCTACAAAACTGCGTGAAGTCGAGAAACGTAGTGGTGCGTTACCTTGGGGGTCAAGAAAGATCCATCCTTGGCCGCACACACCCGTAGAAGCACTCCACGCTGCGTCAGTGAAGCATGTATGCACCAACTCCCTGCTGGATGGAACAGTCTTAGCCAGGGGTTTACTCACAGTCTTTGGCAAGGCCAACTGAGCTGCTTGCCAATCCTTTGCTTCCTTCAGAGACTTGAGAACGATGTCTTGTTCCGAGAAAGAGCGGCCCTCAAAGATGAGGAAATTCCTTGCCTTCCAGAGGTTCCACATTATCCATGGAGCTAAGGGGGAGACCACAAGACCCGACGGTGGTAATGTTGGTGAGGACAGAGCTCGTTGTAATAGAGCCTGAAAACTAAGGAATCTCCCTGGAGCGAATTGCAGGTGGAGAGGCGCCGATTCCCAGACTCTGCTAGCAAAAGGGCAGTTGAGGAAGATGTGGACTTCATCCTCTGGTTCGCCACATCTTTTGCAGCAGAGAGAATTCAGAAGCCCTCTTTTTGCCAAATTGCATCCAAGTGAAAGAGCTCCTCGGGCTGCCTTCCACAGGAATGTTTTGATCTTTGGTGCTGTTTTTACTGTCCAAATGCTCTTAGTCCAACTGAAAGCAAGGGGAGAGTTTGGACCAGTGATGCTCTGTTTACAAGCCAGCTGATAACCTGTCTTAGTTGAGTAGACGCCTGACTTCTCCGGCAGCCAGATTAGTGAATCCGGCAGTTTTGAATTGCTTGTGTTGATCGCTCTGATAGTATCCTCATACTGAGGTAAGGTGTTGCGGATTGCCACGGGGTTCCACTCATTAGAATCTGGGAATAGCAGGTCCTTGACAAGAAGTTGCGATTGTGTGGCAGATGGAGGTCCAACCGGGGCTTGTGGAGTGGACAGAGAGAGCCAAGGCTCATGCCAAATTTTGATTTTACTCCCATCCCCGACTGACCAGCCAAGCCCTTTTTTAAGGAGGTCACGTCCAATGAGAATGCCACGCCATCCATGAGAAGCTGATGCAGGGGAAGAGCATTCCATGAATGAGGAAGAAAGGCAGTACTTTCCCAGTACTATATATGTCTTACTATTATCTTTTACCGCTAAAATTTTGTTAGCTGTTTATGTTACCAACCATACACTATATATTTTTGTATGCACATGAACGTCATATGTTTAATTATATTCATCGTTATATGCCAATTAGTTAATGATTTTCGAAACTCTTTTGATTTAGGTCCAAGAGGAGCTTCAACCTTTTCTTTCTTCGCGTTCAGAAACGCCATCGTCGTCACGTCCACGATTGAAGCTGCAATTCATAAATTCACCGCCGTCATCGATATTCACGGGGTCCAAGATCGATGCCAAGGATGGTTCTCCGCTAGTTATCGAGCTCGTGGACGCAGCCACGAATGCCAGAGTCAGTTCGGGACCGTTCTCGTCTTCTCGGGTCGAGCTCGTGCCGTTGGACGCTGATTCCAAGGAGGAAAACGGGACCGTTGAGGGATTCAAACGGACTATTCTCAAGCAACGTGAAGGGAGACGTCCGTTACTCATCGGAGATCTAACGGTGATGCTTAAAAACGGTGTTGGAGTTATCGCCGGAGATATCGCTTTCTCGGATAATTCGAGCTGGACTAGGAGTGGGAAGTTCCGGTTAGGTGCTAAGTTGACCGGAGATGGAGCCGTGGAGGCGAGAAGTGAAGCCTTTCGATGTAGAGACCAAAGAGGAGAACGTAAGTAGCGGTTACTGCGTTTGGTCAGCGGTTGCAATCGCGGTTAAAACGTTTGGGGTGAATTATTAATCGGTTTCTTTATTTATTTTTTTTGGTTATGCAGCTTATAGAAAACATCATCCTCCGTACCCCAATGATGACGTTTGGAGACTAGAGAAAATCGCGAAAGATGGCGTTTCGGCGAAGCGTTTGGCTGAACACGAGATTTATACCGTCAAGGAGTTTCGCCGTTTGTATACTATAAATCCAAATGAGCTACACAACGTAAGATTATATATATACACCTAAAATAGGTAAAATGAATCTTGATGTCTATAATCTTCTAACCATTCACAAAATTGTTTCGTTTTTATTTTACAGATAATTGGTGTAGGGATCTCAAAGAGAACATGGAAGACAATTGTATCACACGCCATGGATTGCATTTTGGACGAAACAGAGTGTTACATTTACAATGCAAACACTCCGGGCATAACTCTTCTCTTCAACTCTGTTTATGAGTTGATAAAAGTGTCAACAAGTGGTGACGATTTCCAAAACGTCAATCAGCTAACCAACCATCAGCCAATTCTAGACCAATTAAGGGCCGAAGCTTATCAAAACCTTAACCGCATTACAGCGGTTACCGATAGGACCTTTACAGGTCATCCGCAAAGGTCCTTACAGTGCACGGAAGATCCTGGATTTAGCATAACATGTTCTGGATCGCAGCACATCGCCTTTCAAGGTATACAATTTAAAACGGTCATGGTGTTAAGTCTTTTGATATATCTATATCTTACAATAGACTAATTAATAATTTTTTGATCTTCATTTTTTCGAATATTTAGGAAGTTTAGATCCATCAAGCTCTTCGATGTCTCTTTGCCACGCAGCTGCAAGCTCAACAGTCCACCCTGATGTGTTGATGAGTTTCGATAACTCACCAACCACGACATTTCATATCAACAAAAAGTTCTTACCGACTTTCGGAAACAGCTTCAAAGTAAGTGAACTTGATCAAGTACCCGGAAAATCACAAACTGTAGTGACAAGAGGTTGTATCGAGAATGAGGAGGATGAGAACGCTTTTGCTTATCATCAACATTATGACATGACCACAAATTGGTCACCTGGTACGCATCAAGCCGTTGAAACGATGTATCTTACCGTGTCTGGGACGGAAGAAACTGGTATGTTCGATGTTCATCTTACAAACGTTAATTTGGGATCTCCAAGAGCCAGGTGGTGTAAGGTTAAGGCAGCTTTCAAGGTCAGGGCAGCTTTTAAGGAAGTCCGGAGACATACAACTGCCAGAAACCCGAGGGAAAGCTTGTAAGATTTCTTGCCTACCATAATACATTCAGCGGTTTCTTGCATTGCACGAAAATGTGTATATATTTGTGAATAGGGCTAGATAAATGGATCCCGGCCATTGAGTTAGATTAGTCTTTGTGTATATCATGTTTGTTATTTCTCTTTTTTCAAAGGGCCATATATGACCAAAACAATTTAAATTTTTATATTTGAAGTATTTTTTCCCCTCAATCAAATATAGCTGTGGCACAAGGTTTGTAACATTTTATATGCCATAGAAGATTCAGAGGTTTCTTGTGGGACACGAAAGCTATGTATATATGTTTTTATTTTTTTCCCTTTTGATAGATTTAACTCGGCTATTGATTGTTCCTTTTTTTTTTTTAACTTATAACTCTATTGATTGTTCTTGTGGTGCAAAGTGATATGTTACAGGAATAATCTCTGCGTAGACCATATATTTTTAATGAAAAATAAAACTATATATAAATATTGTTTTGAGATAATCATCTTAAATTCTACTGTTCTAGATGCCCCAATCAAAATGGTTTGTTCAGATTTCCAACGTATAGCAGTATTGCGACTTATAGATATGTAACTTAAGAATGGTTCGAGAGAATCATCCAACAAAGTGTAGAACCATAATCATTTTGGCTATGCCAAGAAAATATATATAACTTTATTCTATAAAGCTTTTCACGTTAAATAATGTTGTACTTTTGCTTTTCCTTGAATTGATTTGGGAAGAAGACTAGTGGCTTCCTTATTACAAAGAAGTCTATGAGTAAGTGAAAACATTGGTGGCTTTTTCTTCATTCTTTTTTCTCTGTCTTCATGTGAACAAGTTCGCAGAAATCTGTGGTTTCTTTTTACTTTCTTTTGTCTAATACAAACACTCTCGTCATTATTATAAACAAATTCCACAGATCCCGGTCGTGCGTACTGCCACTTGGCTTTCCACCCGACAATGATATGGGAGATGTTTTGTTTTGTGTCATCCATCTACCAAAAAGGTCACAATCATTGTTCATCAAAAGAGCAGCCGAGGATAGTTTCGTCTTCTTACCACACTCACCTTGGTTTGAGAGGTGTTTTTTAAGGAGCTCTTAAGCCTTTCTTGATTACTTATAAATAGGAAGCAATATTGCCATAGTTTCTCCATATCAATCCTCTAGGGTTTATAGTGAAAGAGTTATCAAGAAAATTCGAAGAGTTCTTGATCACTAAGGTTGGTTACTTTTGATTGGATCGATCCAAGAAAGCTACGATCTTGTTCATCTTCTTACGTGTCAATGAGAATGGAAGAAGAGAAGGAGACAATTAGGTGTTGCAGTGATTGTAAGACCACCAAGACACCAATGTGGAGAGGTGGACCAACTGGTCCCAAGGTCTCTTATTCTACCTTCAATTACTATGTCAATAACTTTGTTTGAACTTAAGATGATTCAACTAGTATTCTTAAGCTGTTTATTGTTGGTATTTTGTGGTGGGATTTGCAGTCACTTTGCAATGCATGTGGGATCAGATTTAGGAAACAGAGACGATCAGAATTATTGGGTATTCGTATTATTCACAGCCACCAAGGCTTAGCTTCCAAGAAGATAAAACCAAGATCATCATCATTATCATCACATGGTGGCGTGGCTGTGAAGAAACGAAGGAGACTAAAGGAGGAAGAACAAGCTGCTTTGTGTCTACTGTTATTGTCTTGTAGCTCTGTTTTTGCCTGAGAGAAAAAAACAGAGTATCTCTCGCTAGAAAATTAGAAACACACAGTTTTGTCCTCTGTTTTGTTCACGTCCTATATCTATTTTAGTATTTTGGGTCACTCTTTTGAGGACATATGAATAATTTAAATTTTAACGAAATAAGTTGGGCCTAACTTTGTGACAAAATTCTGATCCGTAGGGATCATAATGTCACAAATGTATTTGAATAGATTGGAGCATTTCGGTTTGGGCTTTGCATTGACTTTGTGGTACCATCCCTTCTTCGTTTAGGGTTTAAAGCTCGTAACCAGGAAGCAAACTTGTATGGGGATCTTCACGTACTTCACTTTAGTCTTCACTGTGAGACGAAATGGTATGGACTGATCTGAATTTTTCCGAAACAATGTTGTGAAATTAATTAAGAAAAATAATTAGTTGAGAAAATGATACAATGTTACTATATGTGTATATAGAGAGCCAGACGGGTTCGAGAGCCACCAGAAAGTTTAGTTTCTGGTCTTAGCTCTATTAAACTTAAGATTTGGATTGTAACTACATTGGTGAATCTTTGATAATATATACCCCACTAAATTTAAAAT